TTCATGAGACAGGCTATGGCGAGACGCGGGGGGGGGGGCAATGCGACACAGATAACCAGCGCTCGGGGAGACCAAATAAACACTGACGTCTCACTTGCAGACAGTATCAACGCAGAGCAGAGTGCGGGCGACCATTACCAGGCCGTTGGGGGCAGCGTGCTGTTGCCACATAGAGACGCGAGTCACACAGAACGGCTCAAACAGGATTGGTAGACTACGCACACGGAAGAAAGGAGCGGCGTATAGGGAGAGCCAGGAGCCACAGTATTCACGCTCTGAAAATGGATATACGAGACCACTATCCAAAACATCAGATAGAATAATTGAACCTCTCCCGGTAAACGCCCTTTCTCCTTCTGAATATGACCTATAAAACGTATCGATGCTGTTGGAAGGACTCCAAGTGAGCTAGATCCGATCAGCCAGTCAGCTTGCGTGCTTGCGGAATCCGAACCAGACTAGTAATTTCTTCAGACAGTTCGGAAGTAGATAAAAATCCGAAAATGTTTTGTTCCAAGTGCTAACAATCTTTGAAGCTTAGTTGCTGCCACTCTGTGTTGTTATATTTTGGTTCCGGCTAGTCTTCCCTAGTGTATGACACATTTAATACATTTGTCGTCATTTAAAAGGGCCAACGCGGAGCGTTCTGCCACACCATCAACTCGACCGTTCAGGGCATTCAATTCTCGCTGCAGAAGGAGGTTAACAACAATCTCCAATTTCTGGATGTTCTCGTACAGCGAAATATTGACGGAACATTACAAACGTCCTTTTACCGCAAAGCCATGTATATGGGAACGTTATTCTTAACTATGAGAGCAACAACTTCATCTCTCAAAAAGTGAGTGCTATCAACAGTCTGCTATTCAGAGAGAAGACACTCTGCTCTGACGCGTGCGCATGACTCCTTGCCAGGCGGGACCTGAGCATAAAAGAACCCGGCCGGCGGCGGTCTCGCGTGGTGTCTGCCCTTGAAGGTCGCGCGTTACCTGTTCCTGCATGCGATGGCGCTATCACATGTTCTCTCTTTGTTACCCTGACTCGAGGACGGCACGAGTGTTGACTCCTGTTCTGTGCCGTCCTAACACACCCCGCTGTTATAAGACTGACCTCGTGGGTTCGAAGATTTGGATTCAACAAAAACTTGTCAAGTGGACGTTAAGGCCTAGTTGGCTTCCTGAAGTCCTAGTGTATGGCATATTTTATGAACTCCGCTGCCCCTTATAGCAGTTAGTATTTGGCTGCTCAGTCTGGGTTATGTGGCTTCCTCACATTCCGTTTATATAACATGCCTTCCTACTTATTTCATTTGAGTATATGTGCTATTTTAGGGTTACGCTTGTGCAACAGCTTCCGAATAGGCTTACGGTTAGAGTTAACTTCTAATTGTTGGTGGCATGAACATCAAGATGTCTTTTGAGGCACGCGGGAGTCTCCGATGCATTTATAACCAGGGAAGACTCACAGTAGTATCACCGGTTGTTCTTTTCCACGCAAAACCCAGGTTATACCAGATCTGGCTGGTCGCCACAAACGAGGTGGCGCATTTCCAGGTCAGTGATTGCCCGGCAACTGTTGCGATGAGGCGGTTTCGATTCGCTTCCAGCGTGAACCCGCGGCTGCCATGAGGGGCTACAAGCAGAAGCAATGAGTTAAACTCCTAGAACTGCTGCTTATTTGTAGCATAACATGGTGATATAAACAGATGCCAAGGCTGTACCGTGCGTGGCCTCCTCATATTTCATTTATAAAACATGCCTCCCTACTTGTTTAATTTGAGTAGGCGTGACATGTTAAGTTTACGGTTGCGCAACAGCTTCCGACTAGGCTCACAGTTAGATTTAAGGCTAAGGGCTAGGTTTACATTTGCCTGCCACATATTGCCTTCCCTAATCTGGCCATAATTATGAGCCTTTTTACGATTGTGAGGTCTTCATTCATAATACATCGTATCCATTTATCAATTGTATCAATTTATTAATGCCGCCTATACTGCATAAAATATGTTCCGAATCTATTTTAGTATTTTATGACTACTATGTGACTTCTTCCTCAAACTGTAGGCGAAAATGTACCTTGCCTTAAATAGGATGTACACAGTGCGCAGATTTCAAACCTTGAATTCGAGTGTAGCAGTCAGTAGGTTTAAAAATTATTCGGCAAACGCGCAACTTCTTTAAAACCGAAAGGTACCCTTCCTTTAAGTATAAAATTTAAAGAAGGCGTACTTTTCTGTCAAACAAGTACAAGAAATAATTTTTTCGTGCACGTTTTCCATAAAATATGTTTGCATTTTTAGAGGCAGTCAAAATAATTGATAAAAGGGCATACTACTTAAGTAGCCCGATTTTACAATATATACATTTGGCTAGTGGTCAGAACGAAGCTCGTAAAAAGCCCGCACCC